AGATGCATATGGTATATAAACTACCATATCCGCTACTTTCACATAGGAAACCTGCGTTACTTCGTGTGCTAGCACATAAGAATTAACTAATGAAATGCAATAAGCTTGTAGTTTTAGTTTTATGCTCAAGCTAATTAACTCATACTTGATCATGAAAAATATTGACCAACTGAAATTGACACGTTTAACCATATATACGGATAAAACTACCAGCTAAAATAAGGAACTAGCCGGGCAGAAGCTTGTGGGCACGTTGCCCTTCGTAGTAGGTGTTGGAAAAGGAAATGAATCCTACGGAGTGCACCCACGACCTAATTGGGTCTATTTACAGTGCGCACGTTACTGTTCTACAAAAGAAAAGTACAAGAGCTAAGAGGGATGATGTCAAGTTGTCAACGTTTTGAGAGGTGGACTCTCATTTTCTTGCATCCTAAGCTTTTGAAAAATTTTGTTTTTATTCATTTGGTTAGCTTCAATGTTCATCTTCTTCTAAAGGGATAGTCATCATAAGATAGCATGTCATGTCCCCCTCTTTGTCTCATTATGTTAATGAATAAATTAAGGTTAAGACATATTCTTCGTATCAAACGCCTCTTCAGGAAAATCTTAATTTATGTTATAGGTTGCCTCAAATACTCAAATCCATATTGCTTTGGAAGTTTATTTTTTTAGCTTGATTTGTTTTGATCAAGAGTCCTTCTTACATTAGAATTTGCACAACCAATCATTTTAGATGTTTATTTCTACTTGGACTCTTGTTGGGTTTTAGGACATGTGGACTTCTATTCTTATTAGAACTTTTATTCCTTAGACAGCAAGGAGCTGGGATCTTCAAGGCGATATAAGAACAGTCTTTCAAGCCAATTAGATTCATCAATCTTCAGAGCACCAATCAAGAAGAGATAGTTCTTTTGTGAAGCCTATTTGATATTCTTCTCTTTTGATCCTTTTATTTAGAGAGATTGTACGTGGATTTTGGGGTGTTATTTGGGATTGTGAGATTGAGAGATTCCACTTTTTATTCCTCACAATTAATAAAGCTTTTCTCCTCCTTCGCCCATGGACGTAGGCTACAAGCTGAACCACGTATATCTTTGTGTTCGTGTGTTCTTGATATTTTTCGTGCTCTCGTGTGATTAATATTAGTTTATCCTGGGGAATTTATCATAACAAATTGGTATCAGAGCCCTCAGCTATCGATCGGATGAGAAGATAATGACAACTACTATGAAGTGGGATATTGAGAAGTTTAACGACAACATCAGTTTTAGCATTTGGCAAGTTAGGATGATCGTCGTGTTAACACAGAGTGGATTGAAGAAGGCTTTGTTCGGGGAGTCAAAGAAACCAGCTACTATGACGGAGGAAGATTAGAACAAGTTGGATGATAGAGCTCTCACAGGGATCCAGTTATGTTTGACAAATAAAGTTTTGCAAGAAGTTCTCACGGAGAAGACAACCGCTGATTTGTGGTCTAAATTGGAGGATTTATATTTGACGAAGTCCCTCAGTAATCGCTTTCTCTTGAAGCAGTGTTTGTACACACTTCGGATGTCGAAAGGAACACCAATCAAATCTCATATTTGTAAATTTAATTCTGTGATTACAGATTTGAGTAAGATTGATGTTAATATCGATGATGAAGATCAAACCCTATTGTTATTGTGTTCTTTGTCGTCTTCCTACAAGCACTTTAGGGATACTATAATTTACAGTCGAGATTCTATTGGTATCAAGGACGTTAAAGAGAACTTATTGAATAAGGAGAAGATCAACAAGGAGTTAACCACAAGTGAAAGTGGTGATAAAGCTGATGACTTGTTTGTTCGAGGAAGATCGAAAGAAAGGGGTTTTGGAGGTAACAGGTATAAGTCGAAGCATAGCAGTTTGACCTGTAGATATTGCAAGAAGAAAGGCACATCAAGACCGATTGTTACAGATTGAAGAACAAAAATAAATAAGAAGAGTATGAAGAAAAATTAAAGGAGGACTCCACTGAAATTGATATTGCTAAAGATATGATTTTGTTGGCTACAGATGATAGAAATAGGAGCATGGATGATTGGATTTTGGATTCGGGTTGTTCCTATCATATGTGTCTTAATTGGGACTGGTTCACCACTTATGAAGCTATTGATGATGGAGTTGTTCTTATGGGGAATAATGCCTCATGCAAGACTGTTAGGAAAAGCACAATTCGAATTAAGATGTATGATGGAGTCATCAAGACTTTGACAGATGTTAGGCATGTTCCAGGTTTAAGGAAGAATCTCATCTTTTTGGGCACTCTTGATAGCATTTGGTACAATTTTTTAGGTGAAGGTGGAGTTCTTAGGGTTACAAAAGGCTCTTTTATGGTTATGCAAGGAAAGAAGATCGATAACTTGTATGTTTTGTAGGGTTCTACCGTTACCGGTTCGGCTGTAGTTGCATCGTAGATGTCATGAGTTGATACTACCAGATTATGACATATGAGACTTGGTCATATGAGTGAGTGTGGATTGATCGAGTTGAGTAAGAAGGTTCTTTTATGTGGATAGAGTACAGAAAAATTGGGATTCTACGAGCATTGCATCTTTGTGAAGTAGAAAAGATTCAGTTTCAGTACAACAGTGCATCGGACTAAAGGTACTTTGGATTATATCCATTCAGATCTTTGAGGACCTTCTCAAGTTGCCTCGAGGGGTGGTAGTTCCAGATATTTGTTGACCTTCATTGATGACTTCTTCAAAAAGGTTTGGGTCTACCTTTTGAGACATAAATATAAGGTGTTTGTGACTTTCAAGCAGTGAAAGTCTTTGATTAAGAAGCAGACTAGGGAGCTGATTAAGAAGCTTAGAACTGATAATGGCCTTGAGTTTTGTGGAGGAGAATTTAATGAGTTCTGCAAGAAGGAGGGAATCGTTAGACATCATACAGTCCCTCGCACACCACAACAGAATGGAGTGACAGAACGTATGAACAGAATCCTATTAGAGAAGGCTCATTGTATGGTGTTCAATGCAGGTTTAGGTAAGGAATACTAGGCAGAAGCAGTGAATACGACTTGTTACTTAGTGAATCGGTCGCCATCTACTGCTATTAGTTGTAAAACTCTAGAGGAGGTTTGGTCTGGTAAACATGCGGATTATTATAATCTTAGAATATTTGGTTGTCCTGCATATGCACATGTTATTCAAGGGAAACTTCAGCCACGAGCGAAGAAGTACATATTCCTAGATTATGCATCGGGTATTAAGGGTTTTAGGTTCTGGTGTCCTGCTCCTAAGATTATTATTAGTTATGATGTTACTTTTCATGAATCTGCTATGTTCCACCAGAAACGATCATCGGTTTTAGTTGTTGATAATGCGCGTACTACAAGACATAAGGTGGAGTTAGAAATTCGTAATTTAGCTTTATTTCAGCCAGGATAAGACTACGAGAGTTCAACAAGCCAGATCCCGTTCAAGTAGATGATGCCACCTCAGCAGCTGTAGGAAGAGCGGGAATATACTATGCCTAGAGATTGTCTAGACGAGATATCGGACCACCGTGAAGATATGAAGATACGGTAGCTTATGTATTATCGGTTAGTAATTTTGTGCCTTTCAGCTATTCAGGAGCTACTTCAGTTGATGACTTCGCTAATATGTACGGTCGTCGTGCGGACAATTCAGTCGATTTGTTGAGGAGGCCTTTTTTAGTTAGCAAGTTCAAGCCATGCTTGGACTTGATCGATACGTGCCACACTTAGATGCCTTGCGGGGCTATCGGAGAAGTTGGAGTAAGTTAGCTTATTTTGGAGTAAGAAATCTTCTAGCCATTTGAGTCAATGTGGAGATTTGTTATAGGTTACCTCAAATACTCAAATTCATATTGCTTTGGGAGGTTTTTTTTTTTTTTTTGCTTGGTTTGTTTTGATCAAGAGTCTTACTTACATTAGACTTTGCACAAGCAATCATATTAGATGTTTATTTCTACTTGGATTCTTGTTGGGTTTTAGGACATGTGGACTTCTATTCCTATTAGAACTCTTATTCCTTAGACAACAAGGAGCTGGGATCTTCAAGACTATATAAAAACAACCTATCAAGGCTATATAAGAACAATCTATCAAGCCAATTAGATTCATCAAATCTTCAGAGCACCAATCAGGAAGAGAAAGTTCTTTTGTGAAGCCTATTTGATATTCTTCTCTTTTGTTCCTTTTATTTAGAGAGCTTGTACGGGAATTTTGGGGTGTTATATTTTTGGATTGAGAGATTGAG